CTTTCCACAAACTAACTGCAGGTTACACTACATATATATATTCCACAGGAAGTCTACTTTCCACAAACTGACTGCAGGTTACACTACATATAATATATTCCACAGGAAGTCTACTTTCCACAAACTAACTGCAGGTTACACTACATATTATATATTCCACAGGAAGTCTACTTTCCACAAACTAACTGCAGGTTACACTACATATAATATATTCCACAGGAAGTCTACTTTCCACAAACTAACTGCAGGTTACAATACATATATATATTCCACAGGAAGTCTACTTTCCACAAACTAACTGCAGGTTACACTACATATAATATATTCCACAGGAAGTCTACTTTCCACAAACTGACTGCAGGTTACACTACATATAATATATTCCACAGGAAGTCTACTTTCCACAAACTAACTGCAGGTTACACTACATATAATATATTCCACAGGAAGTCTACTTTCCACAAACTAACTGCAGGTTACACTACATATAATATATTCCACAGGAAGTCTACTTTCCACAAACTAACTGCAGGTTACACTACATATATTTGACACAGGAAATTAGGGGTGAGTGTTTTACACACAATGAAGAAATTGGCCTGGTAGATGCTCAACCCCCCTACCTTCCAAATACAGTACTAGTATCCATGCCACAATAATCAAACTACATGTAACTGAAGGTTATACTACATGTTATACTACATGTTTTATAGGAGGTTGGGGGTGTGTGTTCTAAGGCCACACCAATTTAATTTCTTGGTTAACAGATTTTTCTACAAAAATAATGGAGCGGGCGGGCGAAAAAATAAATAAAAATAAAAACAGGCCAAGGCATCGTATTATGGCCCAAAATGGTACGATAGGAGCCATGAACTGATGAAGTCAGCACATCAGGCTGGTTCAAAATTCAAACAATGAATTTTGAACTTTTAATGATACTAGTGCATTGAAAGATGGAATAACTGTAACAACTAGGTAGAAAAGGACTGTTTTCAACTGTTCAGGGCAAAATATGAGCATTTTGCAGTTGATTCTGAATTTTTATTATTTTTTTACAAATCAGAAAAAAATGAATCCATTAACCAAGAAATTAAATTAGTGTGGCCTAAGCTGTGTATCGACACTCTGCCCCTGGTAATTACAAGAATCAAAACATGGTATCAGTGAGCCTAGGAGTCTTTCCTTCCTGTATTTAAAAGTGCATAAACTGAATTTAGTTGCTAGCTTCCACAACTACATCTGTGGCTAAAGTTTAATTTGGTAGTGTCACTTCTGTAACAGTGGGTGTTTATTGGCGCTACCAACTGACCCTGCCAATGGGTCTAGACCTTTTAGGTGTTATAGTGTCAGCGCGTGGACTAGTGCCCAGATTTAATTGGACATGGATTGCTCGAACCGTGGCCGCTCCAGGGATGTCAAATTCGGAAGATTCCAGGAAGAATCTTAAAAAGAAAAGGGGGGTAGTGTAACAGTGGTGGGTTTATAGGCGCTACCAACTGACCCGGCTGATTTAGCCAAATCTACACCCAGTGTCTGGGTGTAGATTGATGCCCAGGTTTGGTCTTGTGTTCGACCCAGGACCTGGGGTGTCTTTCTGTTTCTACTCTCCTAATTCTTACACTTCTAAGACATTTCCACCCAACATATTTTCCAATTTCATAATCTAGCTTGTTTGGTTTTCGCTCCACAACACTGAAAATGATTTTTTTTAGCTTTGCAGAGCGAAAATCCGGATGTTACCCAGCAGGCTAGTCATACTAGTAATCATGTTTACCATCTCTGGAGCAAAATTTCTATTTTTCAATATCAAGCAAAAAATAATAAATGATGGGTGTAAGTAAAATACATAGAGGCTCCTTCTTGTTTTAATCTAACAGTGAGATTTAATATGGATATGTGACAATGATGGAATTTCAAGTGTTCTGCTAGTTTCCTTCCTTTTTTAGCTTTAAAAGCTAAAATCATTGTATTATAGTGTTGGTATATTGCTGATGTTTCTGCATCATCATCATCATATTTCTGCATGTATTGATCACAAAGACCCTGAACAGTTTAAACAGTCCGTAACTTAAGTTGCCCCCTCCCCTTGTGAATGCCCGAGCATTACATAATTTCATGACTTAATTTCATGGATGACATCCGCGTGCACAATGATTTTCGCCTGTTCTCAAGAAAAAAAAATCACGTCCTCGGAGGCTCTGGCCTGGCTCTAGGCCTGGGTAGTCCATGGCAGTTAGCGATACGGAACCGGTGGTAACTCTGGAGGATGGCACCCAGGCTACCAAAGCTCCATGACTCAAGAACTCAGTACATACGTACAGTGCCGATTCATACAACATTCCACAAAAAGCCAGCATGTACCGGTTTATCATATACGTCGCTACATACTGCCGCAAATTCACAATACCAGCTTTGTATTTCTGTGGTTTAGTAGCATTTTTATTTTGGTTCGGAATTTTTTTTATTCGCCCGCGCACTAGTTTGGGGGTCTTCAGAGGATGTCATCCATAAACTGAAGTCGGTGTGGCCTTACCTCCATGAAAAATAGAGGTATTGTTCTTGGTGTATCTGTCTGTGTGTGTGTGTGTGTGTGTGTGTGTGTGTGTGTGTGTGTGTGTAAATTTCTGGTCAGCAATTTTCATTAACTTAGGAACATGGATAGTTATGATATTTGGTATATAGGTAGGTCTTTTGGAAGACAAAGGTTAAGGTCATATCTTGGCCTCCTGGTGGCTGACCTTGGTACTGCAGCAGAAATGCTGGTTTTGGTATCTTTTGTCCTGAACATGCTATGCTCTTGATTTTTGAGTGGCAGATAGATTTTCCTCTCAGTAATAAGTGGTGTGGGTTTGGTCCCGGGGCCTAGCAGCTTGGTTCGTTTTTGTCCTGGGCTTGCATGTAGCTGTGATATATGCGCAAGCCGTGATACACTGTACATTCAGCCATTAACAGTGGAAAACCTGTCACAAATATACACACCCTGCTTCACACATGCAATTAGCTGTTCCACTATATGTCCTACTGGTTCACTGTGTACTGAAGTCAGGTGTTACCAATTCACTGTGTACTGAAGCTAGGTGTTACTTGCTCAGTGTACTGAAGTGAGGTGCTACCAGCTCACTATGTACTGCCACTTAGTAGATGTATTTTTCTACTTCTGACTAGAAAAAAAAGCTGCTTGTCAACCGGGCACTCCTGTGATTTCATGCATCACTACCCAATTCTGCATTGAGCAAAAACATTTTGCCCCAATTGAAATTATCTTTGATCCCTCGAGCTCCTCAAACAATTCTATGCTGTAGGTGTGTTCTTCAACAGAGATGGCATAAGCCATATGCATGAACCACTGAGAATTATTCACTGCCGAAAATGAGACTTCAAAGTTGGGTGGCAAAACAGACCTTCTGGTGGCCAAGGTGTTCTAAATAGTTTGATCCTATATCGTCACCCATAGCTCGGACATACTAGTACATGATAAATTGCTTCGTCATTTCATTTGTCATAAAATCAGGTCGTAAAGTGAGGCCGAAATCCCTACGTATATAGAGAGCTTTAAGTGTCAAACCCCTAAATGTATGTAAACACTAAAAATATATGCACTAACAAAGGAAAGTATGTGAAAGAACCCAATCCAGTTATCTTTTAAGTGCTCGGGGATCTGTTGTGCTTGGCTTA